TCATATATAAGTAAAAAAAAATTAAATGTAAGTTGGACAATATCACTTCCCAGTACTTTCCCCTTCCCTCATTTATATCCACTCCTGGATCTCTTTTGTCCTCTGATCTCCCTTTGATCCACCCCCCTATGGTTTTCCTTTTTACTCTGTAGTTTCCGCATATGAGAGAAAACATACGAGCTTTAAATTTCTGAGTTTGACTTATTTTGATTAATGTGGTGATATCTAGTTCCATCCTAAGTCCTGCAAATGCCATCATTTTTTTAAGGCTTAATAAAGTTCCATTGTGCATATATACCATATTTTCATTATCCATTCAACCAATGATGGACACCTAGTCTGGTTCCAGAATTTTTCTACTGTGAACTCTCTGTTGTTATAAACATGGGTATGCATGTATCACTGTAGTATGATGACTTCAAATATTTGGGGAAAACACCAAGGAGTGGTATAGCTGGTTATAAGATGGTTCAATGCCTAGTCTTTGAGGAGCCTCCATACTGATTTCCATATTTGTTGTACTAATTTGCCATCCCACCAACAGTGTGAAAGTATTCCTTTTCCTGCACATCCTCTCCAACATCCATTATCCTTTATTAGTATCTGTATTCTCTTTTTTTAAAATAATTTTTATTGTTGGTTGTTCAAAACATTACATAGTTCTTGATATATCATATTTTACATTTTGATTCAAGTGGGCTATGAACTCCCATTTTTACCCCCTATACAGATTGCAGAATCACATTGCTTACACATCCACTGATTTACATATTGCCATACTAGTGTCTGTTGTATTCTGCTGCCTTTCCTATCTGTATTCTCAATGATTGCCATTCTGACTGGTGTGAGATGAAATCTCAGTGTTGTTTGGATTTGCTAACTACTAATGATGTTGAACATTTTTTCATGTATGTGTTAGCCATCTGTATGCCTTGTTTTGAGAAGTGTATATTCAGCTTATTTGCCCATTTATTAATTGGGTTTTGATTTATTGATGTAAGTTTTTTGAGCACTTTATATTCTACATATTTAATCCTCTGTGAGAAGAGTAGCTGGCAAAGAATTTCTCCCATTCCTTGGGTTCTCTATTCACATTTCCAATTGTTTTCTTTGCTATGGATGAGATGTTTAATTTAATTGTGTCCCATTTATTAATTCTTAGAATTATTCAGTGAGCTTTAGGGGTCCTATTGAGATAGTTGTTTTAATTAGTTATACATGACAGTAGAATGCATTTATGTACTTTCTAAAAGCTGGAACATTGACCCCATATTTTCTTCTAGATTTGCATAGTTTCTGGTCTATGCCAAGGTCCTGGATCCATTTTGAGTTGATTTTTGTGCAGGATGAGAGACAAGGTTCCAGTTTTATTCTTCTACATCTGGACAACCAGTTGTCCCAACACCATTTATTTAAAAGGCTGTCTTTTCTCCAAAGTATGTTTTTGGGACCTACGTCAAGGATCAGATGACTGTGTATGTGTGGGTTTGTCTCTTGTGTCCTCAGTATGATTGGTCAATGTGTCTATTTTTATGCCAAGAAGCATGCAGGCAGTTTTTGTTACTCTAGCTCTGTTAAATAATTTAAAGATAGGTACTTTGATGCCTCTGGCATTGCTTTTTTGGCTTAATATTGCTTTCGCACAATAAGGTAGGGTGCACTAGAAAAGAATAGCAATACCATAGATTAGGTAGAGGGATGTGTGGGGAGGGAAGAGGAGGGGCTGTGGGGATAGGAAAGATAGTGGAAGGAAACAGACATTATTACTGTATGTATATATGTGACTGCATGACCAATATGATTCTGCAACCTGTACACTTAGAAAAATGAGAAATTACTTCCCATCTATGTGTGATATATGAAAGTACATAAATGCATTCTACTATAATGTATAACTAATTAAAACAAATTAAAAAACATAAACATATTGCAATGGCAACTCTGTGTCTTTTATTCTTCCAAATAAATTTTACTCAGGTTTTTCTAGTTCTGTGAAGAATGTTATTGGTATTTTTATACGGATTGCATTGAATGCAAAATTTGCTTTTAGTAGTATGACCATTTTAAAATATTAATTTTGCCTATTCATGAACATCATGAACATGGGTGGTCTTTCCATTGTCTGAAGTTTTCTTCACTGATCTGTAGTTTTCATTGTATAGACCTTTCATCTCCTTGGTTAAATTTATTCTCAAGTATTTTATTCATTTTCTTTTTGAAGTTATCTTGAATGGAAGCATTTTTCTGATTTTTTTCTCAGCATATTTGTTGTTGGTATATAGGAGAGCTATTGATTTTGGTGTGTTGATTTTGTACCATGATACTTTACCAAATTTCTTTATTAACTCGAGCAGTCTTTTGGATTTTCTTAGTATAGGAACTTATCGTCTGCAAACAATAATATTTTGACTTTTTTCCTTTCCAATTTTTATCCCTTTTATTTCCTTCTCTTGCCTAATTTCTCTCACTAGAATTTCTAGCACTATATTAAGCAGGAGTGGTGAGAGTAGTTTCCTGTGTCTTGTCTCAAAAACTGTTTCAATCTGTTTCTTCTTGTGTTTAGTCAGTTGTACCTTTGAAGGCAATATTCCATTTCATCTTACTTACCAAATTTATTAGCTTTAAGTTGATCATAATATTACATTATTATCATTTTAGTATCTATACAGTTTGTAGTGATGTGCCCTGTCTTTCTTGACACAATAATCAATTTTTATCCATCGCATTTTCTCTAGCGAGTCCTACTAAAAGTTTGATAAAATTTAAGAATCATTTAAAAGAATAAATTTTTCCTTTTTTTGTTTTCTATTTAATTGATTCATCTACAAGTATATGTTTATACAAGCTTCCATGCCTACTTTGTATTTAACTTCCTTTTCTTACCTTTAAAATTTAAAAACATAAATAATTCATTTTATACTTTCTTCTTTTTAAATAACTATTACTTTAAATTATAGTCCAGATATATTTGTAAGTTCTACTGTAATTTTTTTTGCAACATATTTTCCAAAGAAATTTAGACAGTTGTTATCCAAATATTGATAGTCCTCTAGATTAATTATTGTTATTGATTTCTTATTTAATTTAGTTGTGATTGGAGAACATATTCTCCATATTTTCAAGCCTTCAAAATATTTCAAGATACCCACTATAAAATATATCTTGGTGACATTCCCATAAGCCCATAAAAATAATGTGTATTCTGTGATGAGAAATATAATTGTGATTATCAATTAAATCCACTTAGACAAGAGAGTTGTACAAATCTTCAATACCCTTACTAATGTTTTTGTGGTTTTCACTATAAATTACTGAATCAGTGTTAACACCTCTATCAATGGATATGGATATTTTTTTATTTCTACTTTTAATTCTTCCAATTTCACTTTCAAGTATATTTAAGCTCTATCATAATGTAAATACATGTGTGTATGTGTGTGTGTATGTGTGTGTGTGTGTGTGTGTGAGTGTGTGAGAGAGAGAGAGAGAGAGAGAGAGAGAGAGAGAGATTGATTTTGTATCCTGTGTTTTTTGAACACAGAGTCATGTACATGGTAAGCAAATGCTCTTCAACTCAGTTGTAGGCCAATCTTTATTATTTTAGTTTGAGACAGATTCTCCTTAAATTGCTCAGGCTAGCCTTAATTTCTTATCCTCCCACCTCAACCTCCCAGGAAGCTGGGGTTATAGGTGTGCACCACCCAGCCTGGCTCATTATTATATACCCTTGACTATTTAATTCCTTTATTTTATAAATTAACCTACTAACCTGTATAAAAGCCCTTGTTATGAATTCTCTTTTATTTGATAGTACTATACTCACATAAATTTTCTTTTAACTGGTTTTTGTGTTCCTTTCATTTTAACCTCTGTCTCATACATATTTCAATATTATTCTTTTAATCAATAATGAAGTTTTCCTTTACACCCAGTATTGTAACCTCTGCCTTTTAATTGGAGTGCTTAATCCATTTACACTTAATGCCATTGTCATAAAAGTAGCTTTAACTCTATTATCTACATGTTTCCACTTGTACTCTCTATTTTATAGTCATTCAATTCTTCTTTCCTATCTTATTTTGAATTGAGAATTTTGATATTCCATTCTAATCAGCTTGATTGCCTTTTAAAATATTGTTGAGGTCTCCTTGGTAAATAATGAACTCTACTTATCTATTATATTTTGACATCTCTGAGGCCCCATTTTCTAGGTGAACAGATTTAAACCCCTGTGAAATTACCACCACAATAAATGTAATGAAAATATATGTCAACCCCCAAATTCACTACTATCTCATTGTGATGATTCCATTTCTTTGTTGGTTCTCTATCTATAACAAACTACATTTTGCTTTTTCTACAGAGTTTTTCTAAATTGCATTACTAGGCACCAGATATTGTCCTTCATCTTTAAGTCTTCAGATTCTGAAATCAGTCTTGAAAAACAACAAAATCAATGGGAACTTTCAGTTCAAGCTAGAGACATTTATATGCCTTCATCATTTGGGAACTGGAACTGTGATAAGTTCTATGTATACACAGAATAGTTAGTATTGAAAACAATTGTGTGAGTATTTTATGTAATTTATTGCTAGCGCGTAAGCTATGCAGATGTAAATTTCCTTCAAAATCCATGATACATCTGTCCTTGAATCATTTTGATATTCTTAATACTAATGAATTTCCTTCTGTCCACTTGTTCTTACCACAATTACATACTTGAGACCACATCTTTCCACTTTTAAGATTTCTCATGCAACAAATAAAGTCATGCATATGTGGTTGTCCAATAAAATAAAACTCTAAGTTCTACTGATTTAAAACTGATAAAAAGGTTTAGGAAGATACTAAGGACTATTAGAGCTTTCAGATTGGATTATTGGATAAATTAGCCCTTATTTTAAAAATAAAAAATTAGAACGTAAAAAATTGACATATTAGGAGATTTGTGTAGAAGACATGAATTAGAATTTATATCCGAAGTAGAAGGGATTGTGGTTCTATTTCTGCAATTTCACCCTGGACAGAGTATCTCTCAGAGCCTGGTGGACCTGCTTGTTGCGCAGGGTGTAAATTAAAGGATTCAGCAATGGGGTCACCACTGTGTTCACAAGAGCAGCCTCCCTGTTGGAGTCCAGCCTGCTCGCTTGGTTTGGTTTTATATATATGAAGACACAACTGACATACATCAGTGAGAGGACCAAGAGGTGAGAAGAGCAGGTGGAGAAAGCTCTTTGTCGCTCCTTGGCTGATGGAAGACGCATGATTGTGACTACTATGTTGCTGTATGCAATGATGGTTATAACCAGGGATGAGCCAAGGACGAAAAAAGCAAGGTTGAAGAACAATATTTCAATAGATCTGGTGTCAGAACAGGAGAGATTTGTCAGAGGTCCAAAATCACAGAAAAAGTGAGGGATGACATTGGGGCCACAGAAGGTTAACTGGGAAAGCATTCCAACTGGGACCACCATGAAGAAGAACCCCAAAGCTAAGCAGGAAGCGACCAGAAGGTAACACATCCTTGGGTTCATGATAGTGGGATAATGCAAAGGTTTGCAAATGGCCAGGTATCGGTCCAGGGATAACACAGACAGAAGGAAGAATACAGTTGCTCCCAGGAAAAGAAAGATGAAGTCTTGTGTGAAGCAGGCAGCAAAGGAAATTGTTTGTCTCCCTGACAGAAAGATGGTCAGCAATTTTGGAATAACTGTGGTTATAAAGCAGCACTCTATAAAGGAGAAATTGCTGAGGAAGAAGTACATAGGTGTCTGGAGACGATGGTCTGCCCAGATTATTGTGATTATGAGCATGTTTCCCATGATGGAGGTCAGATATGCAAGCAAGTGCACCATGAAGAAGATGTGACCCAGGTGCTGCACTGCAGGAAACCCCTCCAGAATGAACTCATGCACTGTTGTCCTGTTCCTTAGTTCCCCCTCCACCAGATTTTCCATTTCTTCACTCACCTGTTGTTGAGCTATTTTGCAGTGTCATGACTGAAGAATGAAGAACAAGTAAAATAACCAGGCATGGCAACTGGGCTTATTAATT